CCATATCTTTGTCCAGGCTCTTAAAAAGCATGCAAGTTGTTTACCTTTCATGGATCTCAATGTCCTAAAGAATCTTATGAAATTATGAAGTCTCTGAAGATTCTCCCGTAGAAACTCACAGTTAACTGAAGGAGCCTAACTGCCTTCTTGAAGTCATTCTGTGCACCATCTCAGAGTTTCTGTTCCTCAGGTTAAGAACCCTGCTCTAAATCATTCTCTTCACAGGGTCAGAGTTTAAAGCATTGAGGTAGGACTCAGCCACCAACTATGAACTATATGTTTATGTTTGGGTTCTATTCTAGCTCTTGTGTCCCTTCTAGGTTTAGGAATCAGTATTTTACCTCATTGTACCTTATTCTAGTTAAGGACAGAGAAGCAGTAATTCTAGAATCAGTGCCAAGGTCACTTAGGTCTGAAGGTCCCAGGCAAACAGGCAAGATAACACAGAAGGCAAAGGGGGAGCATCTATGAGGCTCCCTTCAGGCCCATACTTCATGGACAGATGGACAGAGAAGTCAGGCACAGCCTTTGTGTGGTATGTACGCTAGAGAGCCCAACAGGAAAGTCAACAGTCCTGAGGAATGTTGACATGAATAATGTGAACAACTTCACGTTTATAAATCCAGTTTCCTGAGTGAGTTTCCAAGAGTCCAATAATTCTAAAGATGTAAAATGGATTCAAACCATCCTTCAACAGCCTCCAATAAGAAAAGATAGATTTCATCTCTCACTTTGAAATTATTTTCATAGCCAATTCATCTTTTTTGAGAGAGGCTCTCACTATGTTGTCCAGGCTAGCTTTGAACTCATGCTGATACTTCCTCAGCCTCCCAAGTGCTGGGTTTACAGGTGTGCATGACCATACTTGGCAACTAATTATTAAATATTTGGATTTTTCATAATTGCTAACCCTAATGCTAACTGTAAGAATCTGAAATTATTGAAGCCTTAAGAAGGTGTAGTTATTAATTTTAAAATACTACAGGAAATATGAATTGTTTTATTAGGAAAGAAGAAGAAGGACAAGGAAATTCCAAGAGTGAATGTTCTGAAGTCAGGCTGGCTTTGTCACTTACTACTATTTATGTACCGTGTAACTTTGGACAAGTGTCAGCCTCAACATCCTCATATTTACATGTGAGGATAACAATAGTGCTTACCCCATGAAGGTGTTGTGACAATAAAATGAGACAATACAAGTAAAAAGCTTAGGTCTGGGAAGAAATTTTAAAAATGTGCTATTCTTAAAATTAACACCCCATTCTTGGATCATTTTGATCCAGGCTTATTTCTTTAATTTTTTATATATGGAATTTGTTTTACTTCCCCATTAACAGATAAACTAAAAGAATATCATATTCATTGCTCTTAAAAAAAAAAAACATTTCAGGGCTGTGGATTTAGCTCAGTGGTGCTACCACCTGCCTCACAAGTACAAGGTCCTGAGTTCGATCCTCAGTACACACACACACACACACACACACACACAAAATTCAGAGATACTAATGAGTTGTTAGGACAAAATATATTGGTTGTCATTGTGACACACTGTAGTAGATAGCACAGAGTCAGGGTCAAATATAAAGAAATAGCTCCAAAGAAGGAGGAGCTAAATAGAGAAATATGTCAAACATATAGGTGCTTTTAAAAGGAAGATATACCAAAGATAATAGTTCCTATGTGATAAAATGAGAGATGATTCTAGAAAAGGCAGTTGAATTCTTGAAGAATAGTTCATGCTTAAAAAACAAAATGAAATCAAAAGGTTTCTCCACTTTTATTACCAGAAGTGATATTGTTAATCTTTCCCCTGTAGTGTGAAATATAGTTTATATTTAAATTTTGAAATGATACTGAGTCAATACATTTAAGAAGGACTCACTCATATGAGCTCAATGATTTCAATTCCTGTGAAATTTCTAAGTCCAACTCTAAAACCAAGCTGTAGTTTGACTTGATACAATTTTTCCCCTCAGGAGATCTTGACCCCCTCACTGCGTTTCACTGAAGTCCCACAATCACATTCCATGGACTCCACATCGTAGTCTGTACTGATCTCATTCTGTACTCATTCTGTACTGAGGCTTCATGACTTTCTGTCACTGATTCTCCAGCCTCCCCAGTCTTATATCCCTTGACACTGCTGTGTGAAACCTACTCTCCAACCTGGAACCTTAGCCAATGTTTTCTACCCACACACTGCAACTAATGAACTCAACAACATGTTAAGTCTGCTTCATGCTTTTCCATTAAGTGACTTCCAAGGATCCACTTCCTCTGTAAATCACACTCACAGAGTTCATCTGGATATCCTACAGTCTTCCTCCTGCCTGCACCGTGCAAGTATATCTGCATAAATTCAGACATCTCTTCTCCCCTTAAAAATGTGAATTTTTTATGAATCAAACTGCCATGGTCACAATGTGGTCAGAGATCACCATACAGATGGGGAACAGGCAGAAACTGGGCCCTTATCTGCTACTCATTAAACATATGGTTTGTGTTTTCTTCTGGTAGAGTCAAAGATTTAAAATCCATTTTTGCTATAATCCTTCACTGGGCATACAGATACCTAGAAGGTAACTAAAAGGAGAATAAAGCTTGACCTTCATTTTGTACCCTTTGCTACTGTGAATCTCAAGTTAAATCTCCCCTCAGCTCTGCATAGGGGCATGTTGATCATTTGATGAATGTCTGGAGAAGCTAGCCTGACAAGATTTATTAGCCCTGAATTTATATGATCTCATCCCTTTTCAAGACTGACAACAGCAAAATAAGAGGTTTACAGAGACACTTAGCTAGGCCCAGATGCCTCCAGCCATTGTCCTAAACCTGTGATCACCTGGACTCCTGGAATGGCTGAGCCTTACATGACTGAGACCACCACAGACAGACAATTTCTTCCTGGGAAGAGAACCTTCTGTCTGCCATTAGGATTCCAAAGCTACAGTACTAGGACTGAGATAATGATCAAGCTGACTTCAGCCCATCAGCTAATCCTTGAAAGCTGGCCTCCTGCAAGGCCAGCCTAAACCCCTGTGTCAGAATATGCCCTTTCTAGCTACATAAACTAAAGAACTTTCTTATCTTCCCTCTAACCTTCCAATTAAAGCTTCTTTTTCTATAAAGTTATGCTTTAGTTTTAATTTCCATTCTATTAAAGCAAGGACCCATGCTAGCTAGCAACAAAATTCCCAAATAAAATTCTCCCATGTCTATGATGATTCCTACTGGGTTGATGAAGAAACACGTGTCACATTAGTGAATTTGATTGATTGGTTTTAGTGATAATATTCAACAAACAGAGGTAAAGCAGGGGTGATTTTTTGGTATTAAAAATTTTACTCTGGAGCCAAACTACTTAGTTACTAATCCCAGCTCTGTATCTTCCCACTGAGTTTTTCTCTCTTTAACTCAGTTGTCTCATCTATTGAATAAGGTAATGGTATTATTTTAAGGATCAAATGGGATAATCCATTTAAACAACTTTTTTAAAGGGCATGGTATATATAGAGTAACCAATAAATGTTTGTGGGTGTTCTTATCACCATTAATTTCTTAGAAAAATAAAACCAGTCATTTCCTAAGGGTTCAGTATATCTTATATAAGGTGTGTGTGGGGGTCACCAAGTTACAAAAGTATCTGTTTGGTCTGAATTTAAGTATACACCTCTCATTCAAAGGTTCTGAAATTGTAAACCAAGATTAACAGCATATAAATACACCCTTGTTCCTTAACAGTATCTTATTTAAAATGACTGGACTTGCCAATACTCTTCCCTTATTTCTTGTAAGATTCTACTTTCAGGTGCTGAAATCTTTAACTTATTCTCTACCTTAAACATGCTAAATATTTTCACATTATGTAGCTCAAGTTGTTCTAGTCTTGACTCAACAAAAATTTGCAGAATCTTTAACACAGAATCTGCCTACTTTTGGTTTGAGTAGAGACGTCTCCTCAGCCTTCCATTGGCACACAGTCAATACTACATAGGAGAAGGGCTGGGTGTCACTAGTGTGTGTTTGCAGCATCTGTTTCTTGTTCAGGGTTACAACAGCTATAAACCTACAGCCTAGAGCCCAATTCTGCAGTTTGGGGGATGACAGCACTTAAACAGTAAAAATTAAGGGTAGTGTTGGCTGTATTGGACAATTTAAGACATCTACATCATCACAATCATTGCAGCTGGACATTCTTCTTGCAGTGGAACTTTAATGTATTGGACAGAATTGTAAGTCAATTGGTCGGGCTTCACCACTTTGGATCACATTTTGCTTTATAATACGCCACAAGCCAGAGTCTCTACAGTTTGACTTAGGACTCAGCAGCATAACCAATAAAATATATTGAAGGAAAAACATCCACATTCTACAGTGTATCGACCAAAAAGCCATCCCAGAATTAAAAAGCTCTGCTGATATCTGGACATATCGGTTTCAGACTGCTCTCTTGTAAACTTCCCTCTAGAAAGAAAACTTTTGACATATAGTTACTATTGTACTCCTGCCAAATACAGATAGGGTCTTACAAAGGTGAAGGGAAAAATAATACAGTACATTATTCAAGCTAAAAAATAACACAATATGCTTCACACAACTCAAGCCAAGTGATCCATATTTTCTAAATCAGAAGTCCAAAGTTCACAGAGAAAATCTCACAATCCAATTGCAGTTTACTATGATTTGAAGCTTGTGTTTCTGAGAAGACATGTAAACTTTGGAATTGAGTTGGACAAAATGTATAAAGGTGTGAAATACAAGGCCTGGGGATGTAGCTCAGTGGCAGAATGCTTGTTTAGTACTAAGAAGGCCCAGGCTTCAATTCCCAGCTTGGCAACAAAACAAACGCAAAAAACAAAACAAAAATTCCAGATGCAGTGTACTGAGAAAATAAATAATTGGCCCAACCAGCATGAGTACAGGAAGTTTGAGATCCCTCCTGCAGATCACTGACCCCGCAGTCACCTGGAATTTCACCTTGTGCTCTGAATGTCACTTACCCTATGACTATACAGGAGATGGCAGTTCCCAAGAAGGCATATGTTAAAATAGATCCTAGGTTTTGAAAAAAGTGTCTCTGGGGAGAAAAAAATATTTCATTTGAGTACATCTGCATTTCTTAGTGTAATAAGAAATAAAAATAACTGCACACTTTTCACAGGCCTGCTTTTCTCATACCATTTAGGCAAATTTTGTTTTTGGAGCCTCATTTCTGACCTTGCTATGTCCAGAGAGACTAAGTGATTTCTTTGTAAGAGACAGGGGAACAAAGGAAAACCCCACCTGAAAGATGACAAAATAGGGATGAGACAATGGCCTCAATTAGCTGGACCTGAGAGGAAGGCAAGGCACTGGGTGGGGCAATGTCTACCCAGGATTCTTGGACAATTAATAGAGGAAACAGTTTTCAATAAGTTTTGTTGTAAATGTAACATCTTTCACATTTTAAAAAATACCATTTGATATAAGTTGCCTTTTGGCTTTTATTGGATCACTGGCTTCTCTTTTGTATGTCTTCTGAATCTCATGAAACCAAACTTTAAAAACCTGAATGATTAATGAATTAAAAACAAAATGATGCCTAGTATTGGGACTGATGATGAGAAAAGATGACCTAAATAAACACAGCCTTCTAAATCTCTTAAATGCTTACTTAGGAAAACTCCCTTCCACTTCTTTAGTGAGATTTGAGAAGCCAGCACTGACAGCAAGAGGGAGCCTGGAGTACACACAAAAAACATCAGGTCTGTCATGCAGAAGCTGCCTGGCTTCCAAAAATGACAGGCTAAAGGGAGGAGAGCCCTAGGAATCTCTGGGTGGAGGGTGTTCAGCAGGAAAGCAGCTGAATTACTTCTTCTCTCAGAAATCCACAGGCCAGAGCCTCATTGTGCAGCATGGGGAATGGCAGCACTTAAACTCTTACGTGAATTATTAATCTATGAAATGTACAAGGTCAGGCCATACCTATATAGAAACTGCAAAACTGAGCTTTCTCTCTATGACAATAGCGTTCTTGAGTTTATACCCAGATGGATAAACATAATGTTAACAAATAAACTCTTCAGTTATCATCTAGAACAACACTGCCCAGTAGAAATGTAATGCAAGCCACATATGTCAATTAAAATTTTTCTAGTAGCTATATTAAAACAAATGTTATAAAGCTGAAATGAATTTTGATAGTTTTATTTAAATCAATATATCTAAAATACTGTCAATTCTACATGAAATCAATATAAAACATTGTGACAGTCTATACTATTTTTAATATGCCAACTCTTTAAAATCTGGTGCATATTTTACACTTAAAAAGCATCTCAGTTCAGACCAGCCACATTTCAAGGGTTCAAGAACTTCATGTGGACAATTGCCTGCGTGTTGGACCAAACGAGTTTAGAAGAATTCTGACTATGTAAGGATACCTAAGATAATGATTTTTTTTTTTTACTAAATAGACAGGTCTATAAAATAATTGTGTTTTCATCAGTACTGTAAATTCTCCACTTAATGCTAACAGAAAATAGTCTCTATATATTTACCTTCTTTAGGCTATATCCTGCATGAAATATAATTGGTGGCAATAAAACATTGAAGAAGATTTCTGGGTCAAATGTCATCTGCCAGAAAAGAGAAAAGAGCAGTTAGAAATATGTTCCTTTAGATCATTAAAATGTATTTTTAAAAAACAGTTATAGTAAATTTTGCTAAGCTTGTTTGAGGCACACAAACACTACTAAATTAGAGATAAAAATAGGAGAAAATGAAAATTTGGAAATTCATAAGTGCAGTATAATTTAAGGTAATATTTTAAATGCAAAATTTATAATTTTTATCTTATTGCTAAATTTTTTTCTTTTGAGTATTAATTCCTCATACTTGAAATGTTTTCATTATATTTTATTTTTTCTGGTATAAGAAGTTGGTAGTGTTTCAGCTGTTTTGCCTTCAGAAGGTTTTTTTTGTTTTTTGTTTTTTGTTATTTTGGTACCCAGGATCGAACAGATTTAGAACAGATTTTTCTACTCAGTCTTGCTCTTAATCAGGCCCATGCACTTATGCTTTCTTACTGATGGTTTCACCTATGTTAGTCTAGTTTGTTCTACTAAAAATGAACTTCTCTATCTAGGAACTTGTCCATACATTGGTATGTTTCTCCACATAATAACTAGTTCAGCGCTTGGCCAGGGAGAATAGATTTTTTAGTTTATTCACTGATGAGAGAGAGAGAATGCCTGGGAAGCCCTAAGTATAAGAATATTCCTCAGCTTTCTCAAGCTTTTCCATGGCTTATCCAAAAAGCCAGAGTCTTATACTATAGGTACTACTTATGCCCAAACACCTGAGAAAAAGAAGGAGGTCAGCTAGAAGAAAGGAAGAGATGTTTCCTTGGCAGTCTATGTGCCTACTTTCCCTGAGGCACACCACTGAATAGTCTAAGTGTTGTATTTCATTAGTCCTTACAGGTAAAAAGAGAGAAAGAATTCATGCATTTGTTGGCTCATCATTCGGCCATCATTCCAGGCTGCATATTAAGCATTGGAGATCAAATGGTACATAAATCTATTTTACACAGGCACAAACAGAGGCTCAGAGAGGTTTTGGCTTGTCAACATCAGGCAGCTTGTAATTGATAGAGCTGGGATTCTAGATCCAGGTTATTGTCTCCAAAGCCTTCCTATATTCCTATATACTCTAGCATACTGCATACTGTAAAACAAGAGAGAGAGAGAGTCTACCTCCTCTTCTGCCATCATGAACTATTTAAGATTTACTCTCCCGATAGCTTGTTATACTTGAGGGGATTTTGTTAGTAGGGTTGTAAACAAAGTATGTTGCTAAGTGTGACTTTTGACAGTGTACTTTAGTGTCATTTTCTAAAAATGATTGGCTCCTATCAAGTGGGAAAAACTCATTTATTTGCATAATAGTCAAAAAGAAGCTCCTTGCATCAGGATCTGTATTAGACACTGAGACAGAGTGGTGACCAAGACCAAGCTTCTGCCCTCTGAAACCTTCCTGATAGTTGTGAATACAGATGAAGCCAACTAATTAACTACCTACTAACTAAAGTGACCAATAATCATTCTGAGTCATAGCAAGTACTATGAAGAAAATGATCAAAGGGCTGTGACAGAGATGTAAGGGTTTTTGTGGTCAGAGCGGCCTCCCTGAGGAAGTGACATGTGAACTGAGATGGAAAAGCAGAAAAGGGGCCCCACAAGGAGATGAGATGAAGGAAGAGAACCCCAGGCAGACAGAATAACACATCCAGAAATCAGAGGCAGGAAGTACCTGTGTGTGTTTGAGGATGCTAAAGGCCAGAATATCTGGGCAGAGCAAGCAAAGGGAGGAGTGTGGGGAGATGAGACTGAAGAAAAGGAAGGTGCGATTGGGAGGTGTTGGAAGGTGATTCCAAGAGGAAAAGATACCAACACAAAGTTAGAGCAGGTATGTGAAAGGATTCTATTTGTGCTTTAAGAGATTCATTGGAGTGACTACTACATAATCCAGGTGAGAGTTGATGGTGGTGTGGGGAGAAGAGGGCAGCTTCCAGATACATGGAGACAGAATGGGCAGTTGGTAGATTAAGTGTTAGGAATAACAGGAAAGGAAGAAACCAATTCTAGCGTTTTTGCTATATAACTAAGAAAGCTGAAGGGTACCTAAGTAGTAGTAGATCATCAATTGGTGGTTTCCTCTCACTAATCTCACATTTCAGGGTTTTAGAAAAATTGTATACCTTGTATTATGCAGACAAGATTAAACTCTAGTTATTTCTTTTGTTACATTGGCTTATTCAAAAGCCTGAGTAAAAAAAGTCCCTTTGAGTGTGCAATAATCAACACAAAAGGTAAAAATGATGATTTATCCATCCCATATATAAAACAAATTTGTTACATTAATCTCTTCTGAAATAATTAGCCTAAGTCTACCAGATTTAATGTTCTATAATTTATTCTGGGCTCTTAAAACATCTTCCTTTGGGTCCTGAAATTTTATAACTGCTTTTGGGCAGAAGCATTAGTATTTTGACTTCACTTTTTAGCTCCTGAACGTCTGGCTTTTAATGTATGAAAATGGAGTCAGTTAGTCAACATTTTTAAAAAAATCATTTCAGCTCATGATCTAGGTTCTTTCTGTTACATACATTTTCTAGAGTAGTTTTAAAAGAGTGGACTCTCAGAGCCAAGCTGCCTGGATTCACATCCCAACTTCCTTGAGTTGGAAGGCTGTTTAAGGTCTCTGTGCTTCAGCAGTAATGTGATACCTAACAACAAGGTTGTTATATGAGCTAATGAATTAATATTTGTAAAGTTTTTGCAGAAGTGCCTGACATCTAGTAAGTATTTCATAAGTATTTATTACCAAGAAAATAAAATAGGTGAATAAATATTTTTGAGTTATACTCTGTAAAAAAACAAACAAACAAACAAAAAGCTCTTCAAGAACTCTTGAAGGTTGCACAACTATTTAAAATGTGTGAAGATTTTAATTTTCCTTCCAAGTTTATTCTCTTTTCTAAAATGATCAGAGACTCCATTGTTGATCTATTTTTTTATGAGGCTTCCTTGGGAGTACAGCAAGTTGCATATTTAAAAATTTTAGTATGGAGATGTATTCCTGAATGCTTGAGGGATGAAGCAACACAGCTGGGATCATCTGGAAGAGAGAAACACAGTGCCACAACCTCCAAGCAGAAAATCCCTTCCCTCAGCAGTTTGTCTGCAAAATTCCAGTTAACCACTCAACAAGAACATTTCAATGATCAGAATGCCCTATTCCCTACCTGGAGGTTAACTAATGTGCTATTGAATGATATTTTCTGGAGCAGTCACATGAAACTGGCAGGCTGAGAATGGCATGCAGTATACAAGAATTTATGTGTATATACAAAACAGATTTGTGTTCCTTTCAGACTTGCTGCAAGCTTAGGAACTGCTAAATCAGAGTTCTGGGAGTAACTCCAAACCCAGACAATTTCTGAGAAATGGCTGGATCGGCCACTGTACCAACACCCAGATGGGAATTCCACATGTCATTTTTCTCAGACTTTGGGTTCATACTGTAGTTTTGGAGGTGAGGCTGTTTTCAAAGCCTAAACAATGAAAAATTTTTTCTTGAAATATTAAGGAAATAAATCTAAGTGAGAAGGTGAGGAAAAGAGCAAAAAGCTAAACATTTTCAGTAAAAGGACTTTCATTACTATTTTAAAATACAAATCTTACAGACAAGTTCTTCCCAATAGAAATTTTTGTGACAATGGAAATATTCTACAACTGTACTGTACAATATGGTAGTCACTAGCCACATGACCTACTAATTTAAGCACCTGACCTGTAGCTAATACAACTGAGAAACTGAAATGTTACTTTTAACACTTGTGGCAAGTGACAATCAGTATATTTACAGATGGATACCAGAATTTAAAGTTTATACCATTTACTTTTTAAATGTTCTATTACATTACAAGATGTGACTAATTTGGAACAGACCTGAAACTGAGATGAAAGCATGGTGCATGTTTTATGAAAGCAGTGAGATTTTTAAACTATACAATTCAAATATTAAAGATAATATGGGAGATAGCAATATGTTTAGAATGATGCAATATATTTTAATTATCCCATATATAGACAAATATTTAGCTAGAAATCACTTTGATATATGTTCACAGTGCTAAACAACTGGAAAATTTCCAAGAATAGAATGAATATACCAAGTTTAACTCCCAAGTTCATCAGAAGGTTATAGATACAAAATTTTATTTGCCACTGAGTATTAGAGCACAAAGTGACTCCATATGACTTATCTGAGAAGAAATATTAGTGTTCTGTTGAACTACTATATAAATAAGCACTAAAATAACCCCTCTAGTGAGCAAGTTTGATTTACGTGGCATAGTCCTTCCAAAGAGGTCTTTTAAAAGCATTGTTTCATCAATTCTGACAACATTCCTGAGTGGTAGCTGGCAAATGCAGTTATCCCCATTTTCCAGAGACAGGAGAAGAAATTAATGGAATGCCCATTGTCAATCAATGTGACAGGGATATCACTGGGAATTACATGTGTATTCATGGGCAAACTACATGTGTGCTTCCTGAGGGAACACTGGGCTAACATAACTAAGATTTAGGACTAAGAACTAGGATTTTGTTATTTTGGCAATTGTTGAGTTCTTTGGTCAAGTAAAAATAGCACAATAATGTGTTCAATTCTCTTCAGTGCTTAATTAAAAATTTAGCAGGCATCTTCATGCTGTAAGGAATATGAAAAAACTCTTAATGATACAAACTGATTCCATGAAGATTGTAGGCAAAAAAAGGAAAGACACTGTACAATTGGAGAAATAAGGCACTCAGGTAAGCTGGTATTCAGAGTTCTGCAGGACAGAGGCACTCCTCTGGGCTTGCTGACCCTGTAGGAAGGCTTGATGTTGAAGCAGCAAATGAACTGGGTTTTGAAGGATGGGCGAGGTTAATCTACCCATGGAGCACCAACACCCAGGACTACAATCTTTTGCATGCCCGGGGGTCAGTGGATAAGGTTCCCCAAGCCACAGAGGAAGCTGGAAGTTTCCTGGAGTTTTAGTTATAGTTGGTAGCAAGTAATTTGGAAC